TTTTTTTGTAGAATTCTATATAGGCACATACCAATGAAAACAAATATTTTTCTTGTAAGCACCCCCTGGCACGGTCGAGTTTGATTCATTTAAGTTTAGATTATCGCTTCTATTTTTTTCTTTTTTAAACAAATAAGGTAATACTAGTAAAACAGTAACATAAGGAGCACTTTTAACGAAAGTTGACAAAGCCTCTTTTCTTAATAAAGAATTAGATGTTGATCAAGTTGATTATTCAAATGTTTTGGTTATGTATATAAGCTAAGACTCTTCTGATAATTTTGATAATGTCTCTCTTTCTATATTCATTTTGATATGCAGTTCATGTAACAAACCCTCTAAAAACATTCTTTTAATTCCTTTTTCTTTCTTTTTTACAGTTGCTCTTCTGAAAAATATGAAAAAGTCCAACTTTATTACCTTATTTCACTTTGCTTCATCTTATTCTTTTCCTCTGCATAGGTACTCAGCTCTCTCTCTCTCTCTCTCTCTCTCTCTCTCTCTCTCTCTCTCTCTCTCTCTCTCTCTCTCTCTCTCTCTCTCTCTCTCTCTCTCTCTCTCTCTCTCTCTCTCTCTCTCTCTCTCTCTCTCTCTCTCTCTCTCTCTCTCTCTCTCTCTCTCTCTCTCTCAACTATATGTAACATCCTATATGTAAGTATGTTCGATCTTGTCAAACTTATGTTGCTAGAGTATCTTGAGGGAAAAGATATTCTTACTGTGACTCTAGATCATATATTCATGCAAAAGTCAACCTGATCAATAGTAAAAAATTCACGATATGGCAACATAAGCACTTTATGTTTTTTCATGGTTGTCAAATAGTTTCGTAAGGTAGTATTTATTATGTATATAATATACGTATGTACATAACTAACTATAATTCTCTGTTGATGAAAAAAGTGATATCTATTCAACTTCTTTTTTGTTTTCTTTTCAGTTTGCCTTATTATTTTGTGGGCCTGATTTATTGATTTATACTTCCGCAGTGAAATATATATGGTAATTGAGGTGGTTGGGCTCTGTTATAATTGTTGTGATGTGTACTTTCTGAAGACTGATGAAAAATGTTCAAAACGACGTTGCATTGAACTTTGCCAAGGCTGTAATGGCGATTGGGCTATTGCCAAGAGAGTCAAGTGCAAAAAGGAATCGGGTCAAGAGACGGAATGCCATATTGTTGTTGTCTCATGAAAAATACTGGAAATTATGGTTTTCTTTTTCCAACTGCTTATACGGCCGGCCTGAAAGATTTCATAACTTTTCATTGGAATTGCGGGTTGATTTAATTAATTAATTTTATAGCCAAATTGATATTGTTTAATCAAATCTTAGCAATATAACAAAAGTGTGTATTTCATTGCAATTTGAATTTGATAGTCGCTAACAAACCATTGCGGATGCTCTTAGAATATGCTATCATCATATTATATTCCTAAAGAAGTGATCGCACGCTACTCGTTTTATCACAGTAATGTTATGTTAATAATTTAACCAAAACTATGATAATCTATAGCTTATGTTTGAATTTTTAAAATTTAAGGACCAGAGGGGAAATACAATAAAAGTTTCAACAAAAGAAGAAAAATGAATGTAGAATGTTGGCATTGAATAGAAAGCAACCCTGCATTTTACAAGCTGAGGCAACTGCTCTTAAACGTGCTTTAATTTGGGCAAACAGGCTGAAGCTATCCAGGACGGACATTGAGAGGGTGATTCCAAGACACTTATTCAAATCATTTCCAAAAAGGCACAATTGCCATGGAGACTGAAGACTTTTGCAGAAGATGTTAGAAATTGGATTGAGAATAAACAGAAAATTTGGCTTTGTGACACTTTACTACGTCTTCCTTAAAGTGATATTTGTCCCCTACTGATTAATGAGTTTGCTAACGGGTCTTAGACAAACCACTTCCAGGATACAACAAAGACTGAAATTTTAGTTTAGCAATAACTAAAAGCATCCATCTGAGATTGCTGAAAAGGTGCCAAAACACCCTTTTGGTAAATAACTGCTAATTCCAAAGGATACAACTTTTGAATTCAAATGGTTTTTTCCAAAAGATGCAACCCTAGGCACGTATCATTCTTAATTTATTATCCATACATATGCAATATATATTTGAAATCTATAACAGAAGAGATATGGCAACTATTGTGCAATTTTTCTCAAGTTTCCATTCATCACGTTTAGAGGGAGGTAAATACGATGACGGATCAATTAGCGAAAAGATAACACTTTTTACCACAATTCATGTATTTGGTTTTGTAATTTTCGTGTTGATGTCTATTCGGATATGTATAATATTAAGGGAATCTAACTTTTGATGTTTTTCTGCATCCAAAAAGGAAAAGAAAAAGAAAGCAACCCTCACCCTGCAAAAACCAACCAACCAGTTGTAGCAACCAAAAAAAAAAAACCCCTTTTTCCATTTTTGGTCCGGAGTTGAAGGCTATTTATGGATGCTAGAGAATTGTGTCAGCCCAGTATCCACAAAAACGAAAATAAAAAAAGCAATTCATGGATCAATAAAGCCCACCACAAACTGGCAGAAAGCGAATTTAGGAAATAAAATAAAATTTTTATAAAAAAAAGAAAAAGAAAATATCACACCAGGACTGCTCGCCGACATTTGGTTTGATAAGATACGATTGCTACAGTCCAAATCAGAGCCATTTGCACCAAATCTTAAAAAGTGCCACTTGTGGCCAACTCTTGTCCAAGTCAAAACTACCCCACTTTCCACCCTGATCACCGCCCCATCCGGTTCCTTCGGTCCCAATCATCCTTTTCAGCCAACCGGGTGCAACCGGTCACAGGTTTTACCTGATGTACTGAATAATTATGCATCTATGAAACCCCCCCTCACCTACTCCGAGCATCACCACTTCAAACACATGCTGACGTCACTCGCATCCCAGCCATCCACTTCACCGCAACGGATCTCGCCCGTCGATCTCATCCGAGTAACCGCGTCTCACTCACACACGATGCTTTTAACCCGTGTGAAGATTGCAAGTGAGGTCCTTAATGCATGCGTGTCGACTTATGATTGGCTCCTACAAAACTTTTGCAATTTTGACGTGTATAATGTTTAGTTCAACAAACAATAAAGAACGATATTTATATGTGAAGATCAAATATACATATTCATATCGAGTCGAAGAGATTAACATGAATATGATGTTAATATGGTGAAATTTGAGGAGAATGTTTTAAGGGCAATTAAAAGATGCTTTCGCTTCTTTTGAAGGACGCGCATTTCACTTCTTTTAAAGAGTGTATAAATATGGATATGACGTCGATATGGTGAAATTTAAGGAGAATATTGACATCGCTCTCTTAAAAAGCTTATTTCACTTCTTTTAAAGGGCACATATTTCACTCCTTTTAAAGAGATTTTCTTTACTTATGTTAAATAGTATATAAACACGGATATGATGTCAATATGGTAAAATTTAAGAAGAATGTTGTTAGCACTCTCTTAAAAGTTTCTTTGAGTTCTTTTAGAGAATGTATAAACAATACATACGGACAATGTCACTGCTGCTAGTGGTCCACGCTAATGATTTAAGTGGTGTTGCGTAACGAGTTAGAGCATGTTATGTTTCACTTCTTTTAAAAAATGTATAAACATGAATATGATGTGAATATGGTAAAATCCAAGAAGAATGCTGTCAGCATTCTCTCTAAAAGCTTCTTTCACTTCTTTTAAGAGAGCATATAAACAAGACAAATGGAGAGTGTCACCGTTATAAGTGGTCCACGCTAATAAATCTGAGTGGTGTTACGTAACGAGATAGAGCGTGTTATGTTGTATACCTGCAACGTACCAAAGTTGGTTTGTTCATTTTAGGTGGACGTCATAGCAATAAAGCAAATTTGTCGTTTTACTTCATCGTCATTTTAAAATAATTTTACTAACAAAAATAGTAATTAAAAAATATTATTCTCTATGAATACATGAAACATAAATTGACTAATTTAGGATACTTGATTGATTTGAGATTTTGAAGACAATGAAGATGAATGTCGTTAAAATATTGAATTTAGTGTATTATAAGAAAATGAAAACTGATTTAAAGTTTGACATAAATATGAATTGCTATCAGACATATGACATGCCAGATTTATAATTTGTGTGTTCTTAGGACAAACGAAAAGTAAAAAGAAGAAAGAATTGTTGAGTTAGAGGAGAGTGGTGGAGAGGTGGGAACAAAGCCTCAACTCCCACTCAATTGTACTAGTGTTTGTGCTTTGTAACCTTCCTTTTAGTTTTTAACCAAATTTAAGGTTTATATCTTTCTTCCAATGCCACGTTGGCAAGACAGCATGAGCATCTGTCCTCCTAACATTAACATTCACAACCTTAATTATTATTATTTTTATTTTGTTACCTTTGCATTGTACTTTGTTTGCAGAGGATTAGTTTAATCACATCATTAACTGTCTGCACCGTAGACTGTAATAAAATCTTATTGGCAAAAGGACAACTCTGTCTCTCTGTGTCTGCGTCATATTCCTACACTGCATGGTCCTATTTTAGTCACATGTTTTAAATGAAGGGGCAATTTCGTCATTCCTTACATCATCACCACCCTCCCCCCTCTTTTCTGGCATGGCTAAACTCACACAGTTTGTTTGTTTGTTTTGTTTTGTTTTGTTTTTTTTGGAATTTTGGTTTATTTAATAAGATAAATATATTTTATTTTATATTTAAAGAAGAAAAAAAAAAGGGAAAAAGAAATAATGGTGGGTAATTTTGTTGTAGGTTTGGCGCGTATATAAACCAACGGACTCAGGGAGACCCATAATAAAATAAATAAAATAATAAAATAAAAATAAATAAATAAAAAAGAACCTCTCAAAGTGAAGGAAGAGGAGAAAAGTAAGAGATCAAAACCAAAAAACGCTTTGAAAACTGATAGTAGAGAGAGAGAAATCCAAAACCAAACCAAAACCAAAACCAAAACAGAGAGAGGGACATACACAGTGTTTGTGTGTATGTGTGAGAGAGAAGAGAGAGAGAGAGAGAGAGGGGAGCCCTGAAAATCTAAACCCTTTTCATATTTTCCTCTCTTTGATAACCCCATTTGATCACAACCTCTCTCACAATCTCATTCCTTGAAGGAGGAGAGAGAGAGAGAGAGAGAGATTGTGGAAGCATCAAGATTGTTTAGTGAAGAACCCAAGTGATTCAGTGTGACCGTACAATGGAGCGGTACGGTCGGACCACAGAAGGGTCACAGTCCGATCCGTCGCCCGAGTGGACTGTTCCGGGACCCGAAACAGGGCTGGAAGGTGAGAGCTTTCTCTGTCCAAAACCACTCTGCATTTCAATTTCATTTCAATTTCGATCGAATTTCGGGTTTTGGGGATTGCGATTTGGTGGGTTTGGAGCGAATGTGGTCCGGTTTCGCAATTGGGTTTGATCTTTTCGTGTTTGCCAAAATGCAGAGTCCATGTGGCAGTTGGGGCTCGGACCCGGGGAATCGTATCCGGAACGAACCAACGTTACCGATTGTAGTTACTACTTGAGGACTGGGATTTGTGGGTACGGCTCTCGGTGTCGGTACAATCATCCTCGTGATCGTAGTGCGGTAATTTTATTGAATTACCCTTTTTTACTGCTTCAATGGGTTGAATTTGGGGCTTATTTGGATGGTTTTGATTGATTGCCACTGTGATCATTTGGTTTTCTGGGGTCCAATTTGGTTTGATCTTGTCTTTTAGTATTGGTATTGTGGTTTTGTATGCAGATTTGATGATGAATTTTATGATTTTTAAGCAATTTGGTTGGTGGGATTGTTCTGAATTCATTGAATTTAAGTCATTGTGGGGAAATTTGTAATTTCTCTTTTCCTGGGTATATTTGTTAAGATCTATATGGTTGGTGTTGATATTATTACCGGTTTACTAGTTAAGGTTGACAGATGTATATTTCTCAGGTTACGGGAGCTGCGAGACCTGGAGGATTGGAGTACCCTGAGCGAGCGGGCCAGCCTGTGTGCCAGGTACTTCACTTGGTTTTTCTAATTGGTTCTGAATATTGGGGTTTAGGCCAAAATGCTACCATGGAGTGGTATACATCTGCTTAGTTCTGGAAGATCACATATTCAGCTTCCATTCGTGTCCATTCTGGACGGAGGACCGTCATCTAAAGATGATTACATGCTTTGTCTGTTGGATAATCCTTGAAAGTTTGTGAATCCCCTTTGTTTGATTGTGCTGTGATTCTTTGATGGCAGTACTATATGAGGACAGGGACTTGCAAATTTGGCGCTTCTTGTAAGTACCACCATCCTAAGCAGGGAGGAAGCTCTGGTAGCCCTGTATCTCTAAATTATTATGGATACCCATTACGACAGGTCTGTATTTCTTAAATTTTAACTTCAATTCTTCAAAAAAAAAAAATTGTCATATTGTAAATCCCATTTCATGACTGTGAGGTAAAGTATCGCCATCATGTTGCAAATAAAACAGGGTGAAAGAGAGTGTTCCTACTATGTGAAAACTGGACAGTGTAAGTTTGGTGCAACTTGTAAATTCCATCATCCACAGCCAGCTGGGATACCACTTCCAGTGCCATCACCAGCCCCTCAAGTTTCACCTGTACCTGCTGCACCTGCATTGTATCAAACTGTGCAATCTCCGTCTGTTTCATCGCAACAATATGGAGTAGTATTTGCAAGGCCTCCTTTGCTACCGGGTTCATATGTTCAAAGTCCCTATGGTCAAGTCCTGCTTTCCCCTGGCACAATTCCTTTTCCAGGTTGGAGTCCATATCAGGTAAGAAACATTTGCTGCTCCATTATCTTTTAAATTGCATGGATTTCCATTAAGCTGTTAGCCATGTGGTGCAGCCACCTGCAAGCCCATTGCCCTCTCCTAGTACTCAACCTGGTGTCGGTTCTGGGACACTTTATGGGATGAGTCAACTATCTCCTTCAGCAGCTGCATATACAGGAATGTATCAGCCGATACCTTTACCTTCTTCTCTTGGTCTTCCAACCACCAGCCAGAAGGAGCACTTATTTCCTGAAAGACCTGGTCAACCAGATTGTCAGTATTACATGAGAACAGGGGATTGTAAATTTGGGTCCTCATGTAGATATCATCACCCACCAGAAGTTGTTGGACCAAAAACAACTGTTGCCCTCAGCCCCAGTGGTCTTCCTTCGCGCCCGGTGAGCCGCCCTTACAAATCCCATGTAGGCTTTTACTAGGGCATGAACCATGAACGTGTTCTTACTTAAAACTGTAATTTACTAGTGAATGATCTTTCAAACTCTCTCTCTGCCTCTCTCTCTTATTCAGGAATGTTTTATTCTTCTAGCTTGTTGAGGTTTCGTCATCCTCATGTGCTTCATGAAAATATATGTGATATATGGACTGTTAGGTTTCGTTGGAAGATTGTAGATGTTTCCAACTTGAAACTAGAGAAACTGTTGGAATTCCCCACGGAAAACATCTAGATATATTCACCCGTGGAAGAATATTTTTACACAGCAGCACTTAATATCTGTGGGTAATATGCGCTGAAACATAATCTTTGCCGCTGATAGATGGTTCGTTATTTAGTTGGAAAAATGTGTAAGTTAGGGCTATCTGGATGATGATGATTGTTTGGACCTAGGGTCCACTTTAGGGAGCATCACTTTCTCAGTGTTATTTTTTCCAGTCTTTTGATATATTCACCTGTGGAAGAATATTTTTACACAGCAGCACTTAATATCTGTGGGAAATATGCGCTGAAACATAATCTTTGCCGCTGATAGATGGTTCGTTATTTAGTTGGAAAAATGTGTAAGTTAGGGCTATCTGGATGATGATGATTGTTTGGACCTAGGGTCCACTTTAGGGAGCATCACTTTCTCAGGGTTATTTTTTCCAGTCTTTTGGGTTTCTTTATTTTTCCTTGCATTTAAGCCTCTCTTTTTTTGGTTGCTTATTGGTGATATTGGCTGTAAAATCTGCTTGTCCTCTGCATTTTTAACTCAATCTGCTGGCCTTCTTTCTTAGCATTATATTATGTGTTCAATATTCTTTTTTGTGCTTTCTTGTACTGTGAATGCCTTCTTGGTCATTTATGCACTTCTCTCTCTCTCTCTCTGTCTCTCTCACATGCTCGTTTTTCTGCTGTGAATTTGAAATTCTATGTGATAATCAGGGTGCACCACTTTGCACTCACTATGCACAACGAGGAGTATGCAAGTTTGGGCCTGCATGCAAATTCGACCATCCAATGGGAACACTCAGTTACAGCCCATCAGCGTCTTCTCTTGCTGATATGCCAGTTGCACCGTACCCAGTGGGATCATCAATTGGTACGCTAGCCCCATCATCCTCATCCTCATCCACAGAATTGCGGCCTGAGCTTAATTCAGGCTCTGGAAAGGACTTAGTTTCAGCCAGAATGTCTTCATCACTGAGCACTTCTAGTGGATCAGTTGGTTCAACTGTTTCTAAGGGTGGTATTGCCCATTTGGGTGTTCAACAGTCTGCTCAGGGTTCTGGCCCTTCAACTAGCAGTGGCAGCAGTACAGAGTCTCATAGTCCAAGCTAAGCAATGCCAAGCAATTTTTCATTCTTCCTTTTTGATCAACTTTCTCCCAAAGCATCATTTTTTCTTTTTTCAAGTCCTCCAATAGAGGCTTATCTCACTGGCTTAGCATACATCAGTCATGTTCATCTCTGTGTCTATATCATCTTTATATGGCCTCCCCTTTTATCTTGAATAAGCTATGGCCAAGCTCCAAAAGTTCAGCAAACCCCATATAGTCTTCCACTTTTCTCTTCAATAACCGTGAAAGAATTTGCAGTTCCGTTAGGCAAATCTGTGTCCAGCTCTCCAATTTTGGGGTGTGTTATGTTCATTTGTGGCCTTTTCCAGAATGAAAAGATTAGTTCCACGGTGTTCTCGCTTTTAGATTGACCGTGTGTAATTCATGTCTATCCTTTCTGAATTTTCTTTTAAATTGGGGAACAAGCTTTCACTTAAACTTTGAAATTTGAATGCTTGTTCCCCCACTTTTTGTCCAAGGTCTATTTTGAGAAAGAGAAGTAAACTAAAGACCCAAGGAGGCATATCACAATGCTTACTTTTATGTGGGATCAGATACATAGTTATTCTGTGTCAGTCAATTGAAATGCTTGACCATGTTATTCATAAATTTATTATGAAATACAAAATATATGAAAGTATCACTCTTGACTGTGTAATAATCTCTCTTCCTTGATATCTCTTACTTTCCTGTAGATTGCTTGTATTGTATGCATGCCAAATCATTCCAGTGTGATATATGGCAGCATGGCTTGAAGATGAACCTTTTTGGCTAATTGGAAATTCTTTTCATCCATTTTATTAATTTTTTAAAAAAATATTAAAAACCATTTTATGCAAAACTTGGTCCATTGAAGGAGAAACACTATGTGTGAAAGCCAATCACATCATGCCATGCGTGATAAATGTTTCATGTGGCAATCTGTGATTGGTTAAGAATAGCAAAACAGTGTTCACACAAGTTTTTCTGCCATTGAAGGGTACGACTCCTGCCTTTTAATTTCTTTCCATCCTAAATATGGATTGAATTGATGGGATGTGCGGTAGTTTAGGAACTTTATGGCTTTGGTCATATCTTCACCCTCTCAAAGATTTGCCCAAGTACCATTTGATTGAGCAGAACATATTCCCAAGGAAAAGATATTATAGGGTTTATGCAGGAATTTCCCATAATACCCATTATTTCCAATTTTCTTGTGATGTCTTTTCTCCCTTCCAACAAAATTCACACTATTGCATTGCCCATAATAACTTTATTACCTATCAAGTTACGGAAAAGAAACTGAAGTCACAACCTCTTCCAACCATATACGCCATTGAGTCATATTTTCCATTGTCTAATTTATTTCATGGCATGACCGACAAGAAGACAAGATGAATCCAGGTTTGAAGGCAATGAACTATGTTGGCAAAATTAATGGATCTCATTGCTTTGCAAACTAGTAGTGCTCAAGGCATCCTTAAAAAGAAAAACAAAGGGACAAAAAAAAAACACTGAAATGAAGTGCTTATCCTACTTTAATCTTCAAGTGTAGAAGAACTCCAACATGTTCAGAAGCCTTGTGTTCCCCTTTTACTTGCATAAATTTAGGAGCATAAATTCTTTAGTCACCCTGGTCTCCTTAATCTTCCAAAGTTCTTAAATAGTATAAGGGTTTTTTTTTAATACAAAATGAAATTAGAGTAAAAGGGATCTCGAGTGCAGAAGTAAATATTTTAAACTACTCGAGCTATACGACGCTTTCTTAACTTTGGTTCTACATATTTTAACCCACCATTAACTGAACCAAAACTATGGACCAAACAGAAAGTAAATAAAGAGAAGCGTTATTGCAAAGCACTAATACTTTTGCAATTAGTGGTCCATCTGTGTTTGTGCATCTAAATTATAAGTTGCATGCATCTATTGTTTTTAGGCTACGTTGTCAGTAAAAGGTGAGGCAAATAGCCGTAAAGGTAGACACATAATGCATCTATTATATATGCTGACCCCATAAAGAGCTAAGCTATAGGCAGTATTATGAAATGGGTGCAAAAGATATATGTGACAAAGACTTCATAAAGTAGTACTAGATTTCTTTCAAACAATTTCCATTAAAACTTGTAAGAGCCATGGTAAACATTGATCTAAATCTCCTCCTCAAATGGCTCCAATGGAGGTTTTTTAGGGTAGTTACAATGAAAGAAAGAGTTGCAAGAAGAAGGAAAAAAAACCCAAGACACAAAAAAGAAAACAAAAAAGAGTGCATGCACATAAATTAAATTCACTTGATAATCCATGGATGCACCCACCAAAAGTTAATCAAAAGAGTGACTGGCCAAAATCAAAGACTGCATCACCAAAAGGAGGAACTGATGGAGAACAAGAGCATGAAGAAGAAGAAGTAGTTGCCTGAGGTATTAAGCCAAAACTAGAATTTTCGACGATCGGATACAAAGCTCCTCCTCCCATGCATCCATCTTCAATCATGAATGGATTGTCCACCATGGCTGCAGACAGCTCTCTTGAATGCAACTCCCATATTGGCTGCTGGTTGTCCCAGAATCCCTGGCTGAATTCATCAAAGCTAGGAAGCTGATCTCCAGGAGGGTTAGTGCTAGAAGCCATTAATGCAGCTTGCACATTCATAACATCTAGACAATGTGATTTGGTTTCAATGGAGTTAGTGTTTGCAAAGCTACAATCTTGATCAATATTAAAGTCACTGGTTTTGGAGCTTCTGTGATTAGTGGCATGATGATCAGATTCAGAAGGAGGCCTCAAGCAGTTGTCAGGAACTATGCAGGCCAAGTAGCCTGAGTTAGAATTAGAACCATTGGAGAAAAAGAAACCATCATCATCCCCATCATGTGAAGATGAACCATGAGAGGTTTCAGCTCCACATGTGTTAATGTTATTGGACCTGATATTGGGGTTTTGAGTTTGATCATTCTGAAAAATGCCTGACTGATGAGGTGGACTGTTGTGATTGGTGGGTTGTTGTTTGGCAGCTGAGAAAAACTGTGATTGTTGTGGTGAAAGGGTTTGGAGATCAAAGGGTGTTAGGAGAGAGTGAAAAGTGGTGTTGTCAGAATAAATGAAGTTGGTTCTTGCTTGTGAGCCTTTCATGGACAGAGCAGCTCTGTCATAAGCCAGAGCTGCTTCTTGAGCAGTGTCAAATGTGCCAAGCCAGTGCCTTTCTTTAGTGCTAGGGTCTCGAATTTCAGCAGCATATCTTCCCCAAGGCCTTCTCCTCACCCCAAGAAACCTCCCTGGCTCTGCTTGCTTTCTTCGGCCCCTTCTCTCACCAGATTGAGAGGGAGGTGTGTTCCTCTGAAGCACAGAAGCAAAACCCATCTGTGCCTGGCCCTGCTCATAAGCTTTAAAGGGTTTATCTGAGGTTTTGGAGGTGGACATTGGCGTGGTAGAATTACAAGTAGAAAGAAGCACTAGAGAAAATGTGCTACTTCTAGAGAAGAAAAGCCAAAAATGTGGTTGAATGAATGAGTTGGGTTTTGGTTTTGGTTTTGGTTTTTGAATGGTGAAGAATGTGGAAGTTGTAGGAAGGCTTTTAAAGACTGATATATAATCATGAGAGAGAGAGAGAGAGAGAGAGAGAGAGAGAGAGAGAGAGGGGCGAGGGAGAGAGGCAAGGAAAAGGACATTGCAGATGTCATTCTGTGGAAGACCATCCTTCCCTTTTCCACCTACTATTTTAAAAATCTTTCCTTTTCTCATTTCTATTTAATCCCACAGCTTTTCAGCTGGAAAATAATAAGAAGCTAGCACTTGTAGGTGAAAAATGTAGGAGATTCCCAGCAGTACTTGTCAAAACAAAAACTCAAAATGGAGATCTACTAGCTGCTCTGCAGTTTTTTCATTTTCTAGCTACAGTCACTTTCTTCCAAGTTCCAACAACACCCTGATAATTTATCATCTGCACTAAATTTCAACCCTTCAAAATTGTAGTTTTTAACTAATGAGGTAATTATTGCATCATGTCTATGTAACTATTGGGATTTGGTGAGAGAGAGTTTTATTGGTTTTGAATCTTCATATGATCCACTCACGTGTGGAGCTAAGGTCTAATCTATGTGAAAAAATTTGACAAGTAGTAAACTTTATGCTTGAAAAGCTCCATGAACCATTTAATATTATTAAAAATAATTAAAGTTTCAGAACAACCCAAGTTGAAATTAATGTCAAAGTTTGAGGACCAAGAAGATGACTGGTAGATAAAATCCCCATCAAAACTTGGGGGATCAATTCATGCATACATAAAAACCAGAAAAATGATCAAAACAGCTGCGTGGTTTTTCTGAGTACCTACTCCTCCTACAGAAAGTCTTTAAAAACAAATTTTGAATTCATGATGTACCAACAAAAATTTATCTCCAATATTCACATGTAAATCCGCATTTTCTGCAACCAAATTCTTTGTAACTTCTTGTCTGCTTCATGATTTTCAAACGGAGCAGTTAAGATTTTCTCAACTAAAATCGAAATTATCAAAGAGCCAGCATATTCTATTGAGCTTGTTTTTTTGGTCTGCATCATGGAAACAACCCCACATCAGAGTACAAAAACAATAGGCTCCCTCATAAGGGCCCATTGCCTCAAAGTTTTATGCTTGTTTTGTTTTGCTGGTCTATATATGCCTCTTATGTACGATTTATATATTTTTTTTAGTAGCAGTAGAAATAGTAACCATATGACATATGCAGAGTTTTAACTTCTGGCATTCTCTGAGGGTATAAGAACGATAAAAATATTCAATCAACTGGGAATGTCAATTATAAACATACTAGAAAAAAGGACTAAGGCCACGGTTTGCGTAGCCACGACCGACAGTGGCCATTGGTGTGTAATGGTAAACTAGGGATAAAGTGATGATAAACAGATGCAGACATAAACAGAGCCTAAATGGTAAATTTGGAGACAAAGGACAAATATATAATGCAGCAAACAGATGGTGAACATTCCATTTTTACTACAAGTTACTTCACAAAGAACCCTTTTAAGTAACATCTTTTCAAGTAAAATATAGCAAATTTTGATGGAGACATGACCCTCAAAGTAATCAGAAAAGGGACTTGGGTCAAAAGGAAATCAAAAGCTTAAAACAAACAAAAAACTCTTACTAAGCAAAGGGGGGATTAAAACTGCCCAAACAAAAGCTATAAGTGGGGCATGCATAATAATAAACCCATTTGGAGGGAAGCATTATCCATTAATTAATTAGGCACTTCCAATATTGAAAAGCACTATTTAATCCCTTTGATTAAACCTCACATTGCCTAAACAGCATTGGGAATGACATAAACTAATCATAACAGCAAATGGGTCAACCTGCTTTCAGTTCACTTAGCATTTCCAAAATGTTGCAATGCTTTGCCACTGGTCACTGTCATGGTCTATTTGTGATTGCCTAAATCTAATGGTCCTAACAGATATAAACAATGAGAGGAAAAAAAAAAAAAAAAAAA